ACTATAAGTCCCGTCCGCGGTCGCGTGCGGTCGCACGCGGCGTGGCCCCCGGAAAAGTCTAAATGTCCTGTCAGCGGATGTGTGCGGTCATGCGATGTCCAAAAATCCTTGTTCAGAAGGTTCAGGGATGGACCAGGTGCTTCAAAAAGTTATGTTCCCAGAAAAAAGTTATAGTTCCGGAATTTCTGGAACTATAAGTTATGTTCCCAAAATCTATTTTTTTGTCGGGTATATTTTTGTTTTTTGTGAGCCTTTTTGGCTTCAAAACTGTTTGAATATACCCGCCAACCATCAAATTTGCGGGTATAAAATTGTTTTTTTGATCAAAAAACTTGAAAAAAACAAAAACATACCCGCTAAAAAACCAGATTTTGGGAACATAACTTATAGTTCCAGAAATTCTGGAACTATAACTTTTTTCTGGGAACATAACTTTTTTGAACATGGTTTCATCTTTTGAGTGGATGTGTGCAGTCTTTCTCTTTCCGTTGCCAGGCAAGTCCTCTTGTACATGGGCCAACGCCCGTTCTTGGACTGGCTCAAGGGAAAAGGACTGTGGGGTCCTTGTGAACCTGGACCGGGTAGACTCGGCTAGACCGAGTCTTGGTGCACATGACTGATGGGAGTTCCTCTCCTTCCATTACCTCTGATGAAGGCCCTGCATCGAGCTCCAGTACAAGTGCATCGGATAGTGAACACACCAATCAAGAGGACTGACACCAAATTGTTCAACTCACAGACTTACTGACTTATTGTATTAATTGCTACTTCTGTTTGTCTCACGGCTCATGCTCGGGACTGGAGATAACCTGCCATGTTGGACATGCCAGCAAGATGCTGAGTATCCTATATCATATCTAGACTTAGACTTCTAGAGACTGCCTGACTTCCAGATTCAACATAATGTTTAAAAAAAATAGTGGTTTCCTGGTCCTGGGATATGTCAACATAATGAGCTGTTATTGACAGGAAGAGGTGGCTTCCAACAAGGACACAGCCGAGACAGTCGAGCAGGACGAACTCAGAAGTGAGGCGGATGTTGACATGGATGATGGGGATGATGAGGCCAACAAGTTACTGATGAAGGTCTGGAGTTGGACAAAGCACTACACGCCAGACAAAGTATTATATTGATGATATGTCTTGTTTAATGGAATGGAATCAAATCACACCAAATCATACAACACACAAACAAGTAGTAACACGACACAGCACTGTCAACTTTGTTAAACTTCAATTCACAATTCCCTCCCTCGAGGTCAACCGCTGTAACTGGCCGGACGGACCAACAAACCTGCAAGATCTTTTCCTATGGGCGCAACGCAATGCGGTTACATTGCTGAAGACATCGCCTCAAGCTTCAGCAGCGGTTGACCGATTTAAGAAGGTGATGCAGAAGGATATTTTTGTGTTTGACTGCTACTCTGGTATGGGAACAGGTGGCTTTACACTGCACATGCAACACAGTCACATGATCCGTCAGGGGACCTAGTTCCACCAGTTGCTGCTTGTTAAGCCATCCGACAGTCAAACATAGGAAACATGTCTACTAGTACCATGTCATGACCACAATATGAACTGACATTAATGTTATTGATGTTGTGTGCCATGTGTGTGCAAAATACAACAATGATCATTACCGTCACCCATTGATGTCAGAACGGTTGGATCTGGTCAGAGTCTGTCAAAACAAAAAGAACTAGGGTTGGCCAGAGTCAGGGTGCCATTGTTTTCCTCTGTTCTTTTGTTTGGTCCAGTCACCAGTTACTCCAGTGATCTAGAGATCGTACTTGAAACCTGCTTGCCCGAGGTGTGATGCAGCAAATGTTTCCGAATGAATTTCGGAATCCTGGGAAGGTCACAACGATCAGTGCTTGTGACGCAGATCAGAGCTGCAGAAAGGTGTTGATGTCACTCAACCCGGTACCTTTTCTTGGCTCTTTAGTGCTTGTTTTTGGTCCGGGAGTCCCGGGTCCCGTTGGCAACAAAAGTTGGGAGGGTGTTGTTAACCCACGCACTTTCTAGCAACATCGAAGGGTCTCAAAAGGAAAACAAAAAACACAAGCCCCGTCCCCGTCCCAGTCCCAGTGGTCGTGTGAAAGCCGAGTTGCATTGCACATCATACATCTGAGGCATACAGGCCGTGTCACGTTGGTGGGAACTTAGAGGAGAAGGTGGAGAACAATGTGTTGTTGCAGCTGCACAACATCAAAGCGCAGGTCTTCAACGAACATCAAGATGCTTTGAGTCTTTCGACTTAAACAAAAAATAATATATATAATTGAATTGAATATCATATTATATTATTTAATATGATAACAACAGCTAGATATGGTAGTGTTGGAAAACTACCGGTGATGTCATCATGTCACCAATCACACACCAATATAACAAGATGTGAACTTGAACCAACCTCCATTATCCTTATTAGACTGAATGAATATGAGAAGTCCCTTCCCATTTTGCATAAAATGCATGATGATCTCACTCAGGAAAGCCTCATGACTCGACAGCGGATGTGGACAATTACTACGGAGATCAACTTCTGGATCGGTATGTCCAGTGTTTGACCAAAAATGTCAGGAACTTCAAGGATACCGTCAAGTGCTTCAATTGTGGCAAGAAAGGGAGACCAAAGGACGGTTCTTTTGTTTTTTTTTTTGGGGGGGGGGGGGGGGGGGGGGGGGGGGGAAGGGGGTTCCTGGTCCTGCACTGACGACTGACATGGATTATGGACTATGGATGAATGTGGACAATGTGGATCTTGTATTGTTTTTTTCTAGTTGCAGTTGCAGCTGGACACTGTGGACCACTTACAATTCCCACAGTTCAGGACCAACGGACTAACCTAGAAAACTAGCAGGGATAAAACAACTAGCAATATGTCATGCAGTCAGGTGTCACAATGACTATACGTGTTTGGTCGCATTGGTCACATGTCATCTTTAGCAATTGTTTCTGTGGCACAGGAATGTCCAAGTCCGTTTGCCATTGCTACAGAGCATCTTCGTCGACCACCATCAGAGCGTCCGCTTCGTGTAGCAGTGGCAGGAACAACCTGTACAGATCACAGCGCGATGGGATTCTTGGTATGATATTACCACATACACACACAGGTACATAATTACATTGTTGTATGGTACACGGGTACACTGTTTACTTTTACTACATTGTTCATTAGTCACACTAGTCATGTTTCCTCATCACAGGAACAAATCAGCGACTATGGGGTGAAAGTTGCTTGCCATTGGCCATTTGGATCGCGGAACGAATCTTGTGCCAGGAGGACATGGTGAGTGAGCTGTTTTGAATATAATGCATAGCAGTAATTGGCATTGTAGGTCAGGTCCTTTTCTTGTTTAATAATGTTTCTATTAGGATCGGATTCGGATATGTTTTTCTCCATGATCACTTCAATATATATATCTATCTATCTATCTATCTATCTATCTAATAGTTGGTCAGTAATCAGTAAGTAGTTTTTACTATTGGGACTGTCTCCAAGACAACTTGATAACAAACACAATGGTTAATATATTGATATTGACATGTTAAGCAATAGTGTTCGACCATGATTTGCCCGTGTCTGTGCATCCCCCATGTCCCATGCAGACCATCTCTGGAATCTCTCAATCCGATAGGACATCATTGTGCATGAGTGTGCTCCTCGATTCAACAAACAGATTTTGACCCGGCATCTACATGGCTACACCCTTCATGAAGTGCACGAACCATCTTCAAAGGGTGGTGATCAACAGAAGCCTTTGCATCTTAGTCAGCATTGTTTTGGATGGCCCGAACACAGACCGCGCGCCTATTCGGTCTTGACGAGAGATGCTACCGTTCGTCTTGATGCTCCTGCGCTAGACGTGATGGAACTTCTATTCAGGAAGCCGGTCTTGCCAGTGTCAGCTTTGTGGTGCGCATCACAGGCAGACTTGCAAGATCAAACATGATGTCAACTTTGTTTGCTGCCTCGTGTGTGTGTGGTAGTGGGTTCATTGGTGGCATGACAAAGTAGAAATAATCACAATCACCACAATCACTAATCACACCTATATTCACACAGATCTGTACCCTGATTGGGCTGACAACCGATTTTATCCTAGACCTTAGATGTGTTGGCACATATTATTTACATTAGCAGAACTCTTGGCCTCCTGGCCCCTGCATTCGGTGCCAAACAATCAGACCTTTTACTACACGCTACACTAGGCTGATATGTTTTACCATAACTCCTGTTCCCATTTTGTCACGTGCCTGATCGCTTTGTTTCGCTGGACTGGGCCAATGCCTTAGATTCTCGAGTAATGGACATGAGACTTCATATACTTCTTGAGTGATGGACTGCACCATCTATTTCTCACAGGGACAGGGACCACTAAAACATAGACATGAATCAGCTAAACACATGGCACATGCTCCTGGCCATCTATTTACTATGATCATTTTCGTGCTTGGTCATGTACTCTGACTTATGGTCCATGGTGTAAAAAGGATTGTATATATGTTGCGCATATACTGATGCCGTTGCTTGTTGTGAGCTTTGGGCCTTGAATCAATAAGCACAACAATTGTTTAGACAAACACACCATGTACTCCCTCAGGAGAACAATACCACGAGTCACCAGCCACCAAAACCAAAGCCACAAAATTTAGTACCCAGTAACCCAGTATTACCAGTATCAAGGACTTTATACAACAACTCCTGGTGCAATCGATCAGGTACTTAAAGGGGTATCACTTAAAATCATGAATCCCTTGATGGACCTTCTAGGCGGATGTGACAGCCGAACGAGAACAAAATGCTCACCGACTCTGCAAACCACTGCAGTCACCATTTTGTGACCTTTTGGGAGGACCGTCGTTTTAAGCTCATGTCATATGGTTTATGCTTTAGTACACCATATCAATGTGATGTGTTCCAGTTCCACCAATTCACAGACCAAACATAGTCAACTAAAATATCAAGACTGTAGACTCTAGACTCGGACTAAACTAAAGCCAAGGTTCTTCCTGTCCAAGCTCTTGTTTGCTTGCAGTCATTTGGTGACCTTTGCGTCAAATCTTCCTGGGAGGAGCCAAACGCGTATGGCTGAAACAATACAGGGAGATGAAAAAGGTCTCCAAAATGTTGAAGAAGGGCTACAAAACCAAGTTCGTCAATTCGTCTGGCTACTTGGCATTCTGGATGTGTATGGTGTACAGTGTACATAAGTTTTTCTCTTTGGTTGTACATCACAGATGCAGTTGTAATTATATCAAACTATCAAACTAGTGGTTTGTTTAGTTTTTATTTATTGTATTTATTGTATATACAAAAAATAGCTCAAGGCACACCCACTAACTTTAGCATGGATGGACAAATGGATGGATCGACGTACCGGGTTCCAAGGACATCTTTGCACCAAGAAATCCCATTGCATGGTGGCGAACCTGAACCAGAACCCATCCCATCGGCCGATAGTCAGCATGTGGCTTCCTGCTCTTTTGAAGGCTGGGTGCATGTGGTTGCTCACATGTCCGGACACCACAACCAACGATAAACAGAACGATGCCATGGAAGAGCGCTGGCTATTACCACGAGACTTTTGGTTATATATGTGAAGGGTGGCTAGGGGTGGGGGACTTCGGGCACGGTTGGCGTCTGGCAGCTGGCATGACAACAATTAGTTACCATGTCACTATCATGTTTACAGAAGTGGGATGTATTCATGGCAAACTGAAACACCAATGGTCAATGGAACCAACACTAGGAAAATGAAGAGACACACACCGAACTGCTTAACCGCTAAGTAACACCATCTATGAATTAAGGGTTGAGACACTCGAGTCAAATTGTTTCAAATAATATAGTCTGTCAGTCTGACTGTCAGTAACTAGTAACTAGTAATATGTTTTATGTGTTCAATCACCACACCAATTCCATACCTCAAAGAAAAGCTTTTGGTCTGGTTAGGTTAGTCATGTTCCATGTAGTGTGCTCAGGTCCCCTTTATGCAACACACACCAAGGAACACCTCAACGCGCAAGGGGTTCCAATGTGGCCAGAATTGTGTGGAGGCGATCCGTTTCCTGTGTTTGCAGCAGCTTTACCGCCAACTGTGACAAAGAGAATTGCCGGCAACGTCACGTGGCAGCACGTCTCTTCCATCCAATCTTTGACCCCAATCCCAACCAGTCACATTGATCCAGGACATAGTCATTCCAACTTCTTTCCTTAGCCAGGGTCCAGGGTGATGGAGGGAAAGGACAGCTGATGATGAAACAAACTGTTCATTGTTGTTTGCTACTGTCTATTTCCTCAGATTGAAATATTTTGCATACTAGGTTTCAACTGTGTGTGTTGTTGATGGGTCATATTTTGTTTTTTTGAACTGATGGACGGGATGGCTGGCATATTATGGATATGATATGACGTATAGAAACATTGTATATTCCCTGTCACTACAACACTATAATAACTGTGTAGTTTTTACTTAATGGTGTTATTAATGTTGTATGTCAAGTTTGAAACCTAGCCAATCATGAGTCATGGCCTTAACCATCCTTTGCCGTCAAGGCGATGCACACGGTATGTGTGGGATCAATGCACGCAGTGGTGTTGGCAACTTTGCAGCTTCACGAATCGTGCAACGGATGAGCTTCCAAGCCAGCCTGTGAATGCAACTGAGGTGGCTGGCAGTTGGGGTAGCTTTGCGTATCGCATTGTTTTGCAGTTGCAAAAGCACAGCTGATAGGTGGATTGTGACACTTGAGTCTAACACCTAACTCAATGGACTCAATGGTCATGTTCCCAATAGCCGAATCGTACAAAATAACTAGAACAAATGACAGGAGTCTAGAGTCATGACTAAAGTCATCATAACATTCATTCATCACTTTATGACATCTTTTGTTCTTTTCTGGTGCTCACAGTTTCTCCACCACGAAGAACCAATTCGATATCAAGGCAGTCAAGCCAAGGCTCTTTGGAGCTCGAATCTTGACATTGCATCGACTGCCTTAGATTCGTGTCACTGGCAGTGGCGACATTGTGCAAGTGACATGCGCAAACACAGATCGAGTCATCCTGAGATTTGTTTGATGTGTTTGTGTCAGTCATTGTTCATACACATACAACCACATGCATGCAACACACCATACATATCTTTGCTGATATTCTGTGACGGTCTGTGCTTTTGATTAGAAACTCTTTGATTCCAGAACCCAAACCAAACCACTTGTGGTGATATGGTCGCTTGGCCCGAAGTCTGGGTGGGGGTATTTAGTCACACAGGTTGCAAACGGATTTGTCCGTGTCAGTCAACTTGAAAGTGTGGCATAGCATTTTGGCAAAGCCATGGACATATCAATGGTTCCAGTGGCACTTGCACCTGGAGGTGGAACTGATGCGAAGGATACCATGGACATCACTAAGGTGACTCAGGTGAAGTGTTCAGTGAAAAAAATGCAGCCTCATGGTCATCCGAAACCCAAGCAAGTCAGGGACTTAGACTTTTGACCTATATGCCAGTGTCAGTGTCAGGCCACTTTATAACCACTGACCTGACCAGACCAGTGACAAATAGATGTGATTTCAATGTGAACTGAACTTAAGCTTGAGACTCGAGACGTGACTTAAAGTGAAACACTTTGACCTGACGGTTGATCCATGTGACTTTTGATCAATCTACCGACCAACTGAACGTGTCCGATTGATCAATCTACCGGCCAAATGAATTTGTCCGAATGAGGTGTCTTCATTTTTGCTGTGGACACAACGTGGCAAAGGACTCCATGTACCAGCAGGCTGGCAAAGCCAAGAACGCTGACTTGCTGCCCATGCTGCAGAACTTGGAGATACAGCAGCCAAATCAGTTCCTGGAACATTTTGAAAACTTTGTCGAAGAGTGCCCTGTCTGTCTCATTGTGAACTTTGCGAATCACTATGTTGGTGACATAGGGACATACTGCCACTGGTTGAAAGTATGTAGCAGTTGGAAGTTTGACTGGACAATTCCAACCTACTGAGTGCTACAGAGTTAGTGACAGGGACTGGTCGGACTGGGGTGTGTTTGTTTGTTTTCATGTTTTGAATCTCACAAATACTTATGACTTCTGATGTCCTTAAACCAGTTCTATTCTGAATTGTCATGTCCTGCCAGCCCCACAAAACAGCTTGATTGTCTCAGTCCTTCATTCAGGTGTCCCAACCCTGGCCGGGGAAAACCTCGGAAATCTTGGGACTTCAGCCGTGCTTTGAAATCTACCAGTTCGGGTAATAGGGAGTCCAACAACCGGAAGAAGAAGCCCTTTACGAAGGACGATTACATCAAGTGGCATCAAACTGATGCCCCAAGCTGGAGAAGAAGCTTGGTTGATAATCTCAGAAACGTGAATCCCAAATGGTACTTGTTGGCCCTTGGCCCTTGGCCAATTGAGTATTGATTGAAACTTAAACGTGTTTAAGTTTAAACTTTAAACTTTAAACCGTTTTTTTTGGTTGAGTTAAAGTTAGTTAGTTAGTTGGTTAGTTAGTTAGTTAGTTAGTAGGCAGGCTACAGGCAGGCTTAAACAAACACATGCATTGTTTGAAAGGCACTGTTCTGCACGTCTCAACTAAGGACTGGGTCCAAAAGCAGCAGGGGACGAGTGGCAACGAGCATTCGGTGATGCAGCTGTTCGGAAGGATCAGGTGGAAGCAAACAACGCTGATGGACTTCCTTTGGGGAAGGCAGGGTTGTGCAGCGAATACATGGTTGCTGTTTGACAGTCCGAGTAGTCTACGATAAACATTGAAACCCGAAACACCCTGAAGCAAGCCGTTATGTTCGATCATCTTCAATCAGTGAATCAGTGACAAGTGATTGGCCATTGACAAATTGACAAGTGAATATTCTCAAGATGCATGTGCAGTCACTGCCGTGGATTAGAAGGTGTGGCGACTCTGGATGGAAGTGGACGAAGAAGAAGTATTAAGCTCGTATCAGGACTTTGATTTGATACTCTGCTGATAGTCTGGTCACCTGGTCGCTCGATACTATGATACCACCAAAACATCTAGATCATCTAGACTAGCTGCTGTGCGTTGCTATTGTTAGGCTGTTCAGTTTGTTTCAATCAAGCATTCATGAACACAAACATCACATGCAACGAACTGACACGATCAAATTTCAAATCTAGTAGTTTAGTGCTCTTGAAACGTACATCTATTAACAATCTATCAATGAATCTATCTCACTATTGATTGATTGATTAATGTAATGTATAATGATACATCTATTCTATATTCTATATCTATTATACTATTATCTATCTATATGTTTGTTTGTTTGTTTGTCTGTTTATCTGTATATCTATCTTTCTATATGTCTATTAATATCTAATATCAATATCTAATTAAATTATCTAATATCTAACATCTATTATCTATTATCTATTATCATTATCTATATATATCTATCTATCTATCCATCTAATGTTGTTGTTTGGTGTCTATGTTTACAACCAATTGTTATAACATGACCATCGGTCTGAGAAAGAATAGTGAGATAACCTAGAGAGTCCACAAACCACACAAGCATTGAAGACAGTGACATGATAGGACAAACGCGTGGAGCATCAAGTAGTGGATGAAGCTGCAAAGCCTTCTGAGAAGGTGATCCAGCAACATGCACAGGTAGCAACAACAGCTTGGCAAGACTTTGACGAAGATGAGCAGCCTTTGGTTCCACTCTCGACCTTGATGAAATCTTCGACCTTTGTCTCTGATCCCCCTGGACACACTCCTACACGTGGTGGTGGTGGTGGTGGCAGCGTGCCAAAACCCCGTGCCGGTGGAGGACGGACCTCAGCCAAGGCCAAAGCAGCACCTCCAAATGTGGAGGCAGCCCGTCCAAGAGCCAAGACCGCAACAGAGTGGAAACGCATAGAGTCTGCTGTTCAGAAGGCAATGACTGTGGGTGAACATGTGCTGAATGAGGAAGCGATCAAAGTCCATTTGACTCCAGAGAACGTTGCAACTGATTGCTCCCTTGATTTGTTGCGCCAACGCATGGCTTTGCTCAAAGTGGCTATGTGCCGGGATACTGGAGTGGAGTCAGCAGAAAAGAGCAAACAGCTGTATACCATGTGCCTTTCTGATCCTTATCTCAAGGATTTGTCCACTACCTTGTTGGCAGTTGAGGATGGATGTCAGACCTTGGGTGCTGCTTTGAGGTGCCGAGACACACTGCTGGACATACAGCCCACTGCAGCCAAAGTTACCGAGCTGATGGACAACCACCGTAATGCAATGAGCCTTTTGAAGACCATTGCTACGTGCGTGCACACAGAAGCTGAGAGTTGGAAGGCCAACATCCAGGCCTTGATTAAGGCCAAGGCAGATGAGAAAAAGGCCTTGGAGAAAGCTGCAGAGAAAGAGAGGAAGCTAGAGGCACAAAAAACAAAAGCGAGAGGAAGCAGCCAAGCAGAAGAAACTTGATGCAGAGAAGAAGAAGCAAGAGAAACTACAGCAGGAGGCAAAGGCAAAAGCAGCAGCTGCTGAGACAGAAGAGCAGGGACCAGATGGGGGTGGGGCAGACGGCAAAGCTCGTCGAGTACGGTGCTCTAAGGGTCACGAATTGTCGGAGAGTGACCCACCTATCCTCCATGAGCTGCGATCAAGCCAATTGGTTGTGCCCACTACCCGCTCCGATGATGTGGCTGGCTTCATAACGGCCATTGCTATGGACCCTGATGCTCCTACCATTGCACGTCTCAGAAAGGCAAGCTGCAAGAAGATCCTCAATGTAACCTGGCTGTGATAGTCACAAAGCACCTGACATTGACATTGTGAATGGTACCAGCAAACTGGCAAACAGCAAACATAACAGCAGCAATAGAAATGGATGATCAAATAAATAGAGGAAATGTATGGTCATGGACCGGACCATGATCATTGCTAGTTGTTCGGCCACAAGAGAAGATAAGAGAAGAGCAGGACAAGAGAAGACAAGAGGACAACAATACCCGGTCACAAGCCCGGTCACAGAGTTCAGGGGTGCGGCCAGTCAGTGTCCAGGGCTGGTCGGTGTGGCCAGAGGACAAGAGAAGGACAAAAGGAGGACAACTGCAGGACAAGAGAAGGACAACTGGCGGACAAGACCCGGCCACAGAGCCCAGCCACAGAGTCCAGGGGCAAGGCCAGTCAGTGTGGCCGTGTGGCCAGCCTTTTTTCTAATTTTCTTACATAGAATAGAACCCTAACAGTAAACTGTTTTGGAAAAAAAACAACGGGATCGGATCACCGTGCAGAAGTTGCAACTGCAGCACTTGTCAAACAGCTGCTGGCTCGGAACACAGAACAGAACAAGGACTTATACTTGTCCAATCCTGCAAGCTGTATGTTTTGAGTTCTCCAATCCTGCACGTTTACTTTTCATTTGCCAAGTTAATTTTCAACTCTGTGTCAGGCTACACCTGGCATCACTTCCACACAGGCAAACACGGTTGCAAAAGTTCTTCAGGCTGACCAAGCGCGATTTTCTTCGGACACGCAGAACATGTTCGCACAAGATAGCAATACCTATGGCCGGAAGGCACTCCCCGGTGAAGGCCCTGCTGGTGATCTTGGGTGTGACAAACTGATCCAAATGGAGATTGAGCGGCTTTGCCAAGTCAAATCCGATTCCAGGATGGACTCCAACCTTGGTTTGGAACCAACCGTTTTGGATCGCCAGAATCTTGAGGACAAGTTCCTTGACTTCCTCCTTAACTTTCCGGAATCCGGAGGCACATTGTTTATATTCTTACTACTATTCTTACTACTCCTAACGGTCCGTCACATTGAATGTTTGGGTGGTTATTGGACAGCATGTAGAAGTGTCCAAAAATGTAATTATCCTACCTGGCCCTAGCGTCCTACTTAGTCAAAACTCATTGACTGACTGACTCTTAAATCTGGAGTCTGAGTCTGGAATCAGGAATCCGAAAGTAAGTTTGTTTTTTTGTTGATCGAATCAGACTCATGATTCATTGAGTTGAACTTTTCCTTTAACTGGTGAGAGTGAGACTGACAGAGTTGATGTTTAGTGTTTTGTTGAAGTTGAAGCCGATGTTTGGTTTACAACACAAACTTAAGTAAAGTTGTCTTTCGCATTACATTGGATGTGTGATGCGTCCTTATCATGACAAGCTCAGGCTACAAGAGATGGTTAAGGAACGATGCTTGGATGAGAAAGTCGCAGCCAAGTTTGCCGACAAGTTCAACAAGATTTCATGGTGTGCTGCACGGAAAGGGGATTTGTTTTGTGGCAACATGCCGGATGGAATGGGCTTTCTGATCTACCACATGGAGGGCAACAGGTTGATTGCAACGATGTCCCTTGAGGAAGCATGTGGTTTGGTCCAACCAGCATTTGACATGACCAACGCCTCACCGGAAGATTTGAAGACCCTTTTGAAGGACCGGGCATGATCACAATGATTGACTGACTTGACTATCTTGACGTGAGACGGATGACCCTGGAGACATTTGACTGGTGAGAACCGTGAGCCCCCCACACACGTAGCGATTTAGCAGAGTTTTCTGAGACTATGACTCTGACTCTATTGAGCAAATTAGATAGTGTGATTACGGACTCATATATACAAAGTTCAATCGGTATCGGCTATCGGTATGTATTAGTATGTGGCATGTGGCATGTGGCTATGTTTTAATGTCACATGATCACACTATGGTTTTGATGTTGGCTGAACATACATACATACTATAAGTTACTGTATACATATAATACTCTACTCTACTAACTCTACTAAACTAATACTAACTATTATGTAACTGTAACTATATATAACTTAGAGTCGAGTCAACTGATTAGTTCAATTCAATTCAATGTTTCTGTTTTGATATATATGTGGGCGCGCACGACGGAAGACCATTGTGGACAATGACAGGATGCTGCCACTGCTATGTCACAGTTGGACGTGGCAACCATGACAGCAAAGGGGCCTGCATGTTCATCGTTGAGGATCACGTATGTCACCCCATGGGATATCTTGTATGTTCCATGTGGGTCCCTGCTGTGCGAGAAGGCCCTGGGAGCAGATTGCGTGTCACTTCGGGTTCCTATGACCTTGATCAGTCATACGCAAAAGTTTTCAATTCGGTTCCTCATGAAGTCTTCCCGATCATTTGCTGATTCAAGACCAGAGTCAGCTGGATGCAATTAGTCCGTTCGAAACAAGACAGGCCCAGGCCAGGTCAACTTTTGTTGGACTTGTGACTCGTGACTCGTGACTGGACTTCACTTGACTGGTAAATAGATGTCACAGTCACAGTCACAGTTGTCGTAAACAAGTGGCATGGGTGGGTGTTGAGCGTTTAGTAACCTAGACTCGCATGCGGTAACTAAAAAAAGCGTGGGTGTGCTACTATGTTGAGCATTGACTATATATGTCACTATGTCCTAAACTCGCAGTGACTGTAGCATTAGTGGCAGTGGTAGCAATAATGGGAGAGCTAGCTAGCTGTTTTGTGTTATGGTTTAGATGGCTTGTTTTTATTTCAAGTATTCAATGTTCAAGTAAGTATTGTAGTTTATTGATGTTGTCGGAGTCATGTCGGAGTCGATGTTGATTGATTACCCTTTGACCCGCTGGTCGCTGACATGCCTCAAACTCAGGAGGCTCGTTTCCGAGCTGCTGTTCAAGATGAATGAGGCTGTCTACGACCAGGGATGCAATGAAGATGTGCTGACAGTGACTGTGCCAAAATTGGATGATGCAGCTGCGAAGGGGGGCCCCAATGAATCCGATGCAGAGATCAGAAAGGAAACATCACCACCACTGACTGATTGGAGTCAGACTGAGGCCCCATTCAGCTATGAGAATCCACCAAATGAGGATGAGCTTCGGGCCCTCCTATCCAAGGACGAATATGCACTTGTGGATGGTGAATGTGAGCGCATTAGGAATCACAGCAAATTCAAAGAATACGAACAATGGATAAAGAATGAGTTTGGGGCCGACAATCCAGATTGGATCTTTGGTGATCTGCTGCTGTCAGATCCGTTGGAGGATGTCATCGGTTTTGTTCTCTGGATTCATGGCAAACTACCAGAGCAGCAAGCTGGGCAAGCACCCCAAACCACATCATCCACGAGAACTTCACCACAGAAGGTGATCGATCTAGAGTGCATCACACCAGAGTCTGCAATGGAACTTGAGGAGATTCTGACCAATGATGCAAAGAAGGACAACTCCGACTACAACTTGCTGGTTGAAATTGAACGGATCCAACAGCACCATGCATTTCCGGCCTACAAAGCCTGGGGGGTCAGTGCACACGAGCTTGATGAAGACCATATTTTTGGTCGTCCGGAGAGCAACCATATCCATGAGATTATGCACTTCGTCACTTGGTACTCCAAGAATGGCAAAACAAACACACCGAATGACCAGGGTGACATTGTCATGGAGGACCACCAGGGTGGGACTTTGAATGAGACCACTGCGAACCAGCCTGCACGAACAGCCGATGAGCAAATTCCAAGCGAGGTGGCACAGCCTACAGACTTCGTGGCCAGCGCCCAGCCATCCCAGCATGAAGACGGAGCAAAGCCCATCCAGCAACAACAGGCTCTTGAAAACACTGAGCCACAGCCGCAGCTGCCACAGAAGCCAAACGAAGACAGCAAGGATGAGCTTCAGCAGCAGCCGCAGCCAGCAGTGGATCTTAAACCAATGAAGCAGGACAACAAGCAGCAGCAGATCCAGCAAACCTCACCTGAACAGACCGCACCAGCCAACAATGGTGGTCTACCCAGTACAGCAGCAGAACAACAGCCACGACCAGAACTGGCTCTTGAACTGGCTAAGTCGGCTGAGCAAGAACCAAACAAGGAGAACAAGGAGCAGGTCACAACCGAACAGACCATACCAGCCAACAATGGTGGTCCACCCCGTCCAGAAGCAGAGCAACAGCCACAACCAGAAATGGCTCTTGAACTGGCTGAGCAAGAACCAAACAAGGAGAACAAGGAGCAGGCCACACGCGAACAGACCACACTAGCCAACCATGGTGGTCTACCCAGTGCAGTGCCGATGGACCCTCAGCATACCCCATCGCGACATCCTGATCCGTTGGGTGTACCGGTGTCAGGCAATGGTTTGACTAGCACGAGCAGCAGCAATGGTGTGTACCAAGCAGGAATTCCACCAGTCCCAGTCCCATCAACTTCAGCTGCAGCTGGCAAATGTGCCATGCTTGGTGCTGAGGCCAATGAACACACTTCGCAAAACAAGTTCCAGGCCCAGAACCAGTCAGATGAGGCAAAAGAGAAGGAAACAAGGAATTCAACAACAGGATCAGAATCAGAACCAGCAAAAAACGACAACGGCGAGACGAAAGACAAAGGTAAGAAAGACAAGGACAAGAAAGACAAGGACAAGAATGACAAGAAAGACAAGAACAAGCATGACAAGAAAGACAAGGACAAGGATTCCAAGGACCACAAGAAAGACAAGGACAAGAAAGAGAAGAAAGACAAGGACAAGACTTACAGGACTGATGATGAAACAGAACGAAAGGAGTCAAAGGATAAGAAGTCTTTGTCTGAGCCAAGGCTGGATGATGTCGGTGCACGTCTCCACAAGAAGATGAGGGAGGCAGTTGAGACCATGGAGACTGCCAGTCAGGCAAGCGGTACTGAGATCCACACCCCTAAGAGTGGGGGAAGCAAAGGCAAAGGCAAAAGCAAAGACACGAGTAAGGGCCAGGGCGGCAAGGGCAAAGGAAAAGGTCGTGGGAACTCCAAAGGCAGTGAAGGTGAAGGTGAGAGTGGCCAGAATCAACATCCTTCCAAGCCTTCCAGGTCAAGGAAAGGTGACAGTGGCAGCAATGCTGCAGCCCCTCCACCAAAACGATGCAGGACAAAGGAATCACATGCCAATGCCAATGTTACTTGGTCTAAGAGAGATGGGCAGGTAGGGGGAGGGTAGGTACAGGGGATGGTTACTTTCATGCTGTGATTACATTCTAGGTTTCAATTGTGGCTTAAACACCCGAGCATCATACATAGCAAACCATCCAAGAAACTCCTGAGCTGAGCTGAACCCCAAATTCCCCCAAATTCTTACACTTGTGACATGGTCAGTGGACCTCTGGGGTGGGGGACTGTCCAGGTTATTTCCTTTTTTTGTCACTTGAAGAAAAAATATGACCAATAACTCTGGGATCTGATCACGTGTCTTGATCGGCCCACTAGGCTAATGGCTCAGGACGCAAGCATTGACTTCCAGCCGTTCATCTCCCACACTGGTCCCCTCGCAGAGTCCTTCCGCAAGAGCAATCCCAATGTGAGCCAGTGACCATGGCTGGCAAGTGAGGGTGGCAAGTGTACCAAGCCAGCTTTGCTTTTTTTGTTCGGGAGCTCAGTGCTCAGCTCAGCTGAACATAATGCTGCTGAGTCCGGTGAGTGCTACAAATTGACAATGATCAATGTTCAATTACATGCATCGGTCACTGAACCATTGTGACTGATTTCCTTAGGTTAATGGTGATTTGTTGGGCTCACATCATCTCCACTTGGTGTTGATGAACTAGAAACACTATTAAACACTAAACCATGTCGAATCGATGTTGTTTACTTGTTGATTGATGTGTTGGCTTTCTTTGTAAGCTTGATAAACTGAGAGTCCCATGGGTCTCATACAATTCTGTAGAGAGCAGATTGATACAAAATCCTTCTGTACACACTCGTTCAACCATTGTTGAACACAGTGCAACAATTGTGTAGTTTGGTTCATGTGGAGTGATGAGCCCTCTTTATGGCCTCTGGGGTTTGGCCATGATTCATCTAAACGACCTCAACCTTGGCAGGAGCCAAAAAAAAGGAGCTTTGGTGGATTGCGCCAAAACATTTGGAATGGGTCCATTGGCAAAACAGTCTTGAAAACACACTTCCGGCAGCTGAAAAAGTTATATTCCCAAAATGGGATGAACTCAAACCTAAAAACCCTAGGTTGTGAAAATTGGCAGGGCAGGTCCTTTTTTTGTCCAAAACCTTCGGAATCGGAACCCTGACAGGCCGGAGCTGCGCTGCTTGGTCATGCCACGGCCCCAGTGCGAAAGCGCGCACCCTTCGCATCGGGGGAGCGCCTGCCGTTGGATCCGAGGGCGACCGGGAACCGGAATCCGTTCGCACCAGGTTTGGAGGTTGGAATCCGAAGAGTGGGATCCACCTGAACCACTCTGAGAGCCTGAACACTTTGAGCCTGTTTCTTTTTTTGCGTGCTAATTATACTTCATATATATCTGATTATCTACAATTCCCACGGAAAGATGGATTTGGCCGGAACACTGGACGTACGACATCATACGACAATTATTGGTGGGGGATTGGGGTAGTTCATGAAGCCCCCGCTCCAATTCCAGGCGGAACGGAGAGGAGCACCGAGGACACTCCCCCATCTTCGCCAAGCTCAGGTCGGCGACCCTGGAGGCCGAGAAGTTCCAGGAGACCCGAACCGAACCGTTTGAAAAGATGTTCATTTCAAACGAGGGGCCGCTGGGAAACCATGTCGTATATATAGTCTCGAACCAAGTGCCAAAAATGGATGATTGGAACTAGGGCGAATTCTGGAGGGGAAGATCATGGAAGATCCTTTTAATACCATCCAGATGGTGACAGTCACCTGAAATCACGGCAGGTCTCGAGAGACCCTCTGGACTTCTTTCAGCGTGTCCCACGTCGCGCGCGCGCGGCTCCCGCGGACCTCTTGGAACTTGCAGCGCTCACTAGTAATGGGGTTTGATTGGTCCAAAGAATGACGGAGCGATGAAAAGGACTGTGTCTGTCTGGTGGGATTCTATGGTGCGTTTTGAGTGCGACCTGGGGTTGATTTTAGCTTTGAGTGCATTTGGCCTTTGTGTGTGTGTCATTTGGGGTCCTACTATTGCCAGATTACCTGTATTTAGTTGAGATGCAAGGTATTGGAAGGTGATCATTATTTAGTAAGTGATCTTCTAAGTTTGGACTGAAAATTGCCGGGGTGTCCGGCAGTAGTGTATTGTAGAACTCTCTCTTCGTTTGCGGAGCTTGCTAAAGTTTATATTGCATATCTAGCTGGGTCTTGGCAGATTTGACAGATGCTAGTGTTTTCTTGTTTGCATGATTCATTGGGAGAGACCATGCATCCAGAAACCGATCATTGTATACTGAGAACAGATGGTGGACAAGTTTGAGTGCTTGTGGGTTGGTCAAGAAAGGGTTTCGCAGGCGAAAACAGGAGGCGCAACCGAAAACAGGACTGTGTCTTTGTTTGTTGTGGATGCAGTTACCACTATAGCTGATAACCAGTGGTTCCAAAGACTAAAACCCTAGAGTGACTTAAAAGCCCCGGTTCCTTATTTAGTGCTAACTGGGATCGACTGGGTTAGGTGTTCAATTGAACATTCGGAGTGATGGACAGACCTCGTTCAACTGCGTCCCGGAACTTCGTAAGCCGAAATTCGCCCAGGACTACTGGACAGGTGCTCCACTGCTGCGCATCCCTGGACGTATGTTTCCAGCAGCTGGGCGCACGAAAGCCCACTCCGGGATGTCTGGGATTGACGGACTCCATCTTCAGGATTGGACCCGACTACTCTTTTTACGTATCCGCTCTGTTCAGGGCTAGGAGCATCTAGGACCCACCGGACTCATGATTGATGTACATGACTTGAGTGTCGCAGGCAGCGGTGTCCAGAGATTCCAGGAGTAGGAGCAGCTGGAGGAGATGTATGGAGAGTTTGGGGGGGACTTTCACGCCACCAGCGGTGTCCTCCCAGAATTTTGTGAAACGGGTTCTTCATTACTTACAGACTTGCGGTGGGAAGAGAGGAGAAGAGAGGAGAAGAGAGGACGATCTTGTGCAGTGACAGCCTGCATGAAGCTTGATTTCCCTTCAGAACCGGAATGGTGACGCTGTTTCAGGCGGCGCCTAGTTTCAAGCGGCGCGTTTTGTGACTCCGGACGACCCAGAACCTGTCAGATCTTGGAACCTGTCAGCTGCATTCTTTCCTGTGAGCAAGTATAAGTAAGTATATGTAAGTATATTGTATGCTACTTACCGAGGAACCATTGATTTAACCTGAACATATAGACACCCTTTTTGGTGGGGTATTTGGGGTGAACCCCCAAATTCCTGGTGGAACATTTGGTTAACCTTGACCCTTTTTCCAGGGAAACGGCTGGGTCGGACGATGGGACTGGCTAAGTCTATCAAATCCCATGGGCCCGTGACGCTGCGCCTAGCACCGTGACGCTGCGGCTCCGCGTCAGCCTACCACAGGCTGGTAGGATTAGTGAGATCTATCTCGAATCTCATAGATATGCTTCGGGACATGCAACAATTGGCTGTCCACCTTGATTAATCTGCAGGGTATATTGCGAAGAGCCCTGCTATGGCAATAGCAAACTGTTTGATCAAGAGAAGTCATTGACTTACTTTCCTCATTTGACTTACTGCTGGATTGGATGATGTAGACGCATGTTTAGTTTACTGTTCTTTACATTGACCATAGCCTGCTTAAGTAGGCTGCTCAAGTGATACGTAAGCTGTTTGACGGGATGTTTGGTGGTTCTATTCTGGGCAGGTTTGAAACCTGTTGAAGGCACAAGGACATAACAAGATAAACATGCCTTCCATCATGATCAAAACATCAGATGCCTTCCAAATAGCTGGATTTTGACCGATTCCTGGGGAGTTCAACAGAGTGTAGTGTTACAGCAGTTGGTACAGCATATTGCAATATATTGCAAGATCCAAATCCCCTTCACCGTGGCTGCGCGACGCGGTTTCGCGGCAGCCACCAGGTCGAGACCTTCTTCACCCTGCGCCCAGAAAAGGACTATGTGGCGGCGCCTTCGGCACGATGCTTCGTACCTTTGTTACTAGTAGCTTCTTCCTAATAGCGATGGCCTCCACCTAGTAGCTTCTTGTTACTAGTAGTA